AAAAAAAAAAAAAAAAAGAAGAAGAAAAGTTAGACGTGGCAACGTTAGGCGTCCACACGTAGGACGCGGACATGGGAAATTTGTTTATCGGCGTGCAAGCGTCCGTGGCATTAATACGCGGGGCGTCAGCGATAACCATTCTCAATATCCATAATTATTATCAGCAGCGGGAGCTGTTGGCAGCCCCCAGCGCGAGCCACCACCACGTGACTCGTTCCCGTCGAAATAAAATGACAACGTTCATTTGCAAATGCACGAAAGTGCATTATTTTTATTGGGTTTGTTAGTAGCCGAATCGCGTCGGTGTATATACGCGCGTGTGTCGTATGTGTCGTCGCGGACGCGAAGGAGTGGTTAGGGGGCGGAGGAGGGAAACGATCGCGTGCGTGCGAGCGCACGCGTCAGCTTCGTTCTACAAGCCGGCTAAAGGGAGTGTGACAGATTCGCTGGGGGAATACCGATGGTTCGCTCGTTTTTTGCTCTCCTTTCTCCTCTCTCTTTCTTCGTTTCTCGTTTCTTCTTTTTTTTTTTTTTTTTGTTCTTCTTTCCGTTCATTTCTCTGTTTCATTTTTCGTTAGCACAGGAGAGAGAGAGAGAGGGAGAGAGGGAGAGAGAGAGCAACGAAAAACTGCGTCGATGTTTGGCAACGATCCTGAAGCCGAACGAATCGACGTGTCACAGGAATTTATCTTAATTTATGGAACTGGCCAGCGGCGGCAACCGGGAGAATCTTTTTGTTCGCCGATTAATTATTCCCGGCCAGTCGACGTCGATCCACGGTGTACCAGAATTTTAATAACTTTCTGCGACCTTTTTTCGGCCGTCGCTGGAAGGGGGGCGAAGGGGGCTTCTTCGGGTCGGGTGACGCGAAATTGATTGGATCGCGGCCGAAACGACGCCGGTGAAGGACATGTGCGATCGGTGGCCACCAAGACCGGTGTTAATACGTCCTGCTTTGCAAATCTCCGTCCCTCTCTCTCTCTCTCCTTATCGACGATTACCAACCGTTGATGAGATGTATGAATATTTTAAACGCGCCTGTATCGCCGAGATCTCTGGCTCGCTCGGTTTTACCAATAAATTCCTCGAAGACTAGTTATTACCATAGGGAAAAGATCATTTGACCGACAAGCATAACCTAAATCACGCGCCAGTGACTATCCATCAAGGAAACGCAATTTCTTCCACCCCTCCCCCCTCCCCCCCACCGTGGCCTGATTTATATACATTGTAATTCGTACCAACGAGGGTGAAATTATTTTTTGAAAGATGCCAGATAAAAGACGTCTAAGCGGCTAAGCAGGCGAACGTGCCGATCGAACATTTAAATCACATCGAACAGATGCGGCCGCCGTCGTTCCAACAATTCGCGCCGACAACTTGGCGGAAAAACAAACGTGCCCGACCCTTCGTAGCCAGTTTCCATTCCCATGGAAATCCGTTAATTGAACCAGCCTCGTTAC